CTGTGATACTACCCGGGTGCCCAAACCGAAGCAGGTGGTTATCTTAGGGGGCCACTCCCCGAGCCTTTGACCTAAAGGTCTAACCCACAAGGCAGTGGAGCATCGTAAGGAGATGCAGTCCCATGGTAGCCGGTGACCAAGAAATTGGTTCATACGCCATTCGTTCCCGCAGGATACTGGAGCCCATGTGCACCATTGATTTGGAATCCGGTTAAAGCGCCGGACATTCGCTTTTCGTCCTCTCATTTTCGTAAACAACAGTAGTGCCACGAGGAGGCATTGAGTAGGACTTCCCTGGCAGAGGCTGTATACGCGTGGCCGTGTGAGAGTATTTCGAGAGGGAGAGCGGATTCTCTTCACTCTCGGCCGTACCAGGGCATTCAGGGGGCCTCACCTTACCTCACGGATTTCCGTCTCCGGCGGTAAGGCCCTTTTGAAGAACGTAGCTAACACATCAAAAACCTCCCACGAAAAGGCCGTGCGCGACCGGCCTCAAGCAGTTGTCCCTTGGGCACTGCGGTCACGCTCTCAGGTCACTGAGACCACTTCTAATCTAATTTCCTTTTCGGGTACCTCCAGAAGAACCCTTCCATGGTGTGGGCAACCGGGAAGTGATAACCGCCCTCATACCTCTAACAGCACGCAAGACCACTGTATTCATAATCAACCTTCCTCTTCAATTCCTATTATTCCTCCTACATCGACTTTCAACCCTAAACCTCCTCCTTCGGCTTCCTCCTCAAGTGTCACCATAGCCAACGATTCTAGTGCTCAAAACTGTCCCAGGTCTACTGAAACCTCGCTCCAAACTACACATTGGAGCTTTCAACGTACGCACTCTATGTCAAATCGGTCAGCAGGCTTCCTTGGCTAAAACCCTAGAGTCTCTTTCCATTGATGTATGCTGTGTCTCCGAAACACGCATACAGGATTCCAGTGTGGTCATTCACATGACCTCACCTCGGCAAAACGGAGAGCCAACGAGATACACCCTCCGTGTATCTGGTGACCCGATGGCCAGTTCTCGTGGACTGGCAGGTGTAGGCATAGCACTAAACATGAGGGCGGAACAAGCACTATTAGAGTGGATCCTCATCAACAGTCGCCTATGTGCTGTTCGGCTAAACGGCTCCGTAAAAACTCGGAAGGATAGGGACACACGTCGTTGCCTTTTCGTCGTTTCTGCCTACGCTCCCACTGACTGCAGCTCAGATGAAGTGAAAGATGAATTTTACAGAAAGCTATCTGAACTTCTTCAGAAAGCTAAACGCTCAGACATAGTACTCATAGGGGATGACTTTAATGCCCACATAGGTAGCTTAAACCAAACAGAAAGGCATTTAGGTGGATATTTTAGCATTCCGGCACAGAGAACAGATAATGGTGACCGTCTGCTGCAACTGTGCTCAGACAATCCCTTATTTTTAGCAAACACAAATTTTAAGCATAAGGAGAGACGTCGTCTAACATGGTGACCCCCTACACCAAGCCAACGATGGACTCAAATAGACTATATTACCATCAGCCATCGTTGGAGAGGGTCGGTACAAGATTGTCGCTCATTCTGGAGTACCTGCTTGGACTCCGACCACGCCCTAATACGGGCACGCATCTGCTTGCGCCTCACTGGACGCAAAAAGGCCACACTAAAAAGACCCATTAGAACCGAACTGAGTAGCGAGGAAACCAAAAGTAGGTTCCAGGAACAACTGAGTTCACAATTAGGTAGTTCTGAAGACGAGGCTGACCCAGATGTTGCTTGGAAAGACATACAAGCAGCTGTGGAAACAGCAGTGACATCTATTAGCGACTTAAACCACAGAGATACAAAGAACCAGTGGATTTCTTCAAAGTCTATCACACTGATGGATTCTCGCAAACTCGTCCCATCAGGTTCCGAACATGATGAAGAGCGACAACAAATCAGATCTAGGTTAAGAAAAAGTCTAAGAAACGACCGTGAGCAGTGGTGGGCAATGAAAGCAAAAGAGATGGAAAAGGCGGCGACTATAGGGAACACAAGACAGCTTTACAGACTAATAAAAGAAACTGGAATTAATAAGTCAAGTGTAAGTGAGATTATATCGGAAAAAGACGACACCCTCATCTGCTGTCAGTCCAAACGTTTAGAACGATGGGCGGAACATTTCAGAGAACAGTTCAACTGGCCTTCAGCTACTCTACAACTACCCTCCATTCCCAGACAGTGTGAATGGAACATTGAAGTAGGTCCCCCAACTCTTGCTGAAGTTCAAAAGGTTATAGTTAATCTGAGACGAGGGAGGGCAGCTGGTCCAGATGGACTGGCTCCAGAGATCTTTAAGGATGGTGGTCCAATTTTAGCGATTAGGTTGACGAATACTTTAGCTGAAATCTGGGAGTTGGGCTTAATCACATCTGACTGGTCACAATCACATATTGTCCTGATATATAAGAAAAGGTCAAAATCATCCAGCGACAACCACAGAGGGATTAGTTTGACTAACATAGCATCTAAAATACTAGCCTCAATAATTATCAGACGCCTAACAAAGACTGAACTGCAAACACGAAAAAATCGAGCTGGCTTCAGACCTGGTCGTGGCTGCATCGGCCACATATTCACCGTTCGTCAGGTTCTAGAACACAGACATACTTATCGACGTCCGACAATGGTGGTCTTTCTTGACTTGAAAGCAGCATTTGACTCTGTAGACAGCGAGATTCTGTGGCAGTGTCTGTCATTGAAAGGCGTACCCCAGAAGTACAAAAACCTTGTGAAGGCTCTTTACTCAAACACTACTAGTCGAGTTAGAGCTTATGGCGAACTGTCATCTACTTTTGCAACCTCAAGTGGTGTCCGTCAAGGCTGTCCACTTTCCCCATTTTTGTTTAACTTCATCATAGACCTACTGATGGAAACAACATTCTCGTCGACTGAATTCTCGGGTATTGATCCCCTTCCAGAAGGTCCACTTATCGACTTAGAATACGCAGATGACATAGTCCTGTTTGGTGAAGACGCTGACAAAATGCAGTCTTCTGGTAGCACTAAGCAACAATACCAGAATGTTTGGAATGCGCTTCTCTCCCTCGAAATGCAAGTTGTTGCTCCTGGACTGGGCTGCGTCAACACCTGAACTAAGGATAGGGAGTGAAGTAGTCGAACACGTCGACAACTTCACTTATCTTGGAAGTCTGATCAGCCCTAATGGGTTCGTATCGGACGAAATCTACGCACGGATTCGAAAAGCTCGTTTGGCTTTTGCCAACATGCGTCACCTATGGCGAAGGCGAGATATCCGTCTATCAATAAAAGGACGAGTATACTACGCGGCAGTCCGTTCTGTTTTACATGGCCATTAAGAGTAGAAGACACTCATAAGCTATTAGTAGACCAGGCACATATATGCATGGGTTAAAGTTGCCATACCTCAATAACACAACAAGATGGACACTGGATTCATATAAGTGGTTAATTCAATGGTGGTAATATATAAAAGAAAGATTGCATATAGAGATATATTACAAGAAGAAAGAATTGGTTCGTAGAAAGAAAGATATGAAGTGATTTTAATCTCTTGATTTAAGGGAAGACAGGGAGTGTATACACCGACGCCATTGTGATCGATTCTGAGCCATGTCACCAAGAGTCTCCAACCATTGGTTACGATAGTCACGCGGACCCTAATCAAGTAGTCTGCATCTACCAACATGGCTAAGGCTAAAAGTTAGTGACTTCAGGCACTGATGCCACGTTTTGGTTTGGCCGCCCCTAACTTTCTTCCAACCATCTCCAATACCGGATAGCATTGCACGTCGTGGTAATCGGTGTTCAGGCATACGTAACACGTGGCCCAACCATCTCAGTCGATGAAGATTCATAACCTCATCAACTGATTTACCATCATTTCCTAATACCCTGCGTCTGACCTCACTATTACTTACCCGGTGATCCCAGCAGACGCCAGCAATATTTCTAAGGCATCTGTGGTCAAATACTAATAGCTTTTGAGTGTCAGATTTTTATCTTACCGAATGTGTTACGTTCTTACTCTTCAACATCACGTTCTACTGTTAGTTCGATTTTATATTACTTTTTAGGTTTGATCATGAAATCAAACATGTCTGCTTAAGGTTCTCAAAGTAAAATGTTTTCTGTGTATAGAAGCAACTATGTATTTCAGTATTGGATCACGTATGGACTTTAAAAACATTTTTTCACTTTTCTTTCTATGCCATATTTTGTACTTCTTACTCTGTTATAGTATTTTGTCAGATAAAAGTTTCGTTATTCAGGAACTATTTCTCAATAAGTATGTTAAAATCTAAGTTTTTGTAACCTACTTAAAAAGTCCAAGTCAGTCAGTCTTGATCAAGATAGCCTGACAAACGTTCATAAGCTCAAGTTCACATACCACGTCAATGTGACGACATGAAATCAGCAAGATAAGTAGCAGAAAAGTTGAAATAATATAGTAGTAATAATATCAATAAAGGTTTAAGGCTGAGAACTTCGTTTAGGATAAAGATGTACATGAAAAAATGGGGCTAAAGATCTTGAGAAAGATAAAGCAATAAAAATGTAATAATTTAGTTGTTTTAAACTACTCTTTCGTCAACTATAGATTGTATAACAGTTTGTGTGATATAATTCTTGAAAATCATCTACTCTCGCTTCATAGCTACTAAAAGTAATATACAATCTACATTTTAATATTATTATATATTGAGCTTTTCCAGGTTTTTGCTTTTGGAACTGCCAGCAACTAAATACTTTTGAACTTTTTACTGACATCTTTCATTGTTGACAAACTAACAACTCGAAGACAGTAACATAAGCAGTAAATGTAATTCAGTTTCAGGTTTTTTTTCTTGCTAAAAGCGTCACATGCGTTGATCAGCCAATCTCATAGTTAATTATCAAGATATTTTAGTTGTGGTGATTTTTTTATGAGACTAATATTGGAAACATGTTCTAAATTTAATAAACTTTTTATTCGTTGATCTTCAACTTTCAGTCAACCAATACATAAACATAGTTTTTAAACATTCAGATTATTCTCCACTTGTCGAACCACATGCGTTGTCGAATAATTTGGTTTTAAACTTACATGAAGTTCTCAATCGAGCTCCCCGATTAAAACGTAATCCAGCTCCAGAAGTAATAGCTGCTGCGTTGCTTGGTCTTAAAGTTTCTAACTTCTTGTGTGAGTGCTCAGAATATGTGCATGCCTGCAAAGCGGCTCGGAGTGTTCATGAAACTGTGCGTTCTTTTTTCACGCCTACAAAATTCCATCATGCTCAGCAACGTCTTGAGTATGACGCTATGTGCATGTAAGTGGAAAAGTAATCTTTTCATTATATATATATATATATATATATATATATATATATATATAACAATTGTATTGGATCAAAATTTGGTCTAGTTTTGCCAAAATATATGTCCGGTCTATATTTATTTATTTATTTAAACACATGAATATTGGTACAAAGGGGCACCGAATAGATATGCGCCACACAAGTCACTTGATTTGTATGTGTGCTGTGGTACTGCCCGGGTGCCCAGACCGAAGCAGGTGGCTTTCTTCATGGGCCATACCCGGAGACTTCGACCTAGAGATCTAATCCACAAGGCAGTGGAGCAACGTCAGAAGGTGCAGTCCCATGGTAGCCGGTGACCAACGGTTGGTTCATACGCCTTCTGCTCCTTCAAGATCCTGGAGCCCATGTACACCACTGGTTTGGAATCGGAGTTTTTCAACTCCCCTTGGTGGATCCTCCGTTTCCACCAACCCGGGTAAAGCGCCGGGCATTCGCTTTTCGTCCTCTCAATTTTGTAAACAACACCCCTGTCACGAGGAGGCAGTAAGTAGGACTTCGCTGGTAATGGCTGTATACGCGTGGTCATGTGAGAACATTTCGAGAGGGATAGCAGACTCTCCCCACTTGGAAGCAATGTTGTTTCAAATTGATTTGAATGTTTTTTGGCTTTTTAGTGATAAGTAGTAGCTCTAGATTATAATTTGATTATACGTGAAATTTCAGGTATATATCATTTATAAGTAAACGGTTTAGGTTGTTCTGTAATCATCAACTCTTGAAATATGAGTTGTATTTGTTCCATAAAGGCCGGTTGTGCCAACTGGATTTCAAAAGTACTTCCAAAGAATGAACTTTTAATTATCAGTATTACCACTGTAGATTGTATTTGTATCAATTACTTTATGTAATACCATTTCTTTTACTCTCTCGGGTACGAAGCAGAACTCCGATTCACTAAATATGTATTATCGTTAGCTTGTCAACATTGGTGATTGCTTAGAGTGTAGTACAGAAATATGAACACAGTTCATGAATCTCCTACAGGTAACAGGGGATTCATTATATGGCAAACAACTCAGTTTTATCTCTACGTAGATTGTATAGTTGTTATACCCTTTCAAGCTTTTAAAAGGCTGTCACTTTACGTTTAAAACAACCATAAACGATATTTAAGCTAAAAGAATATCTCATAAAGTATTTTTAAGGAAACATGTATATTTCAAGGCGTTGGGTAAGTGTACACCCTTTTTAAATATCCCGCATATTTCGAGGATTATACAAAGTCCCAACTTAAATTATTTTTTTCCTTTGTATTTACATGCTTTAAATCTTACTATTAGTATGCTTCGAGCGATGAATGCGCATAACATGTACTTAGAACCTGAAGATCAACAAGTTTTCCAACATGAAGCACCCGATTTACTAAAGTCGATGTGGAAGTCGCGGTTGTTGATGACTAAGTCAATGAATATGAATAATTTTGACTATTCCTTGTTACCAATTAGCCTGGAGAATACTTCTCAAAATGCTTATGTTTCTATCGGATTATCGGCTTCTCGATCATCTGATGAGATTTCTGAAGGTACTTCGTCTCCTTCTATCAGAATTCTTGGACCTGCCGGTGATGAGTCTCCTTGTGTATTAGAAACGCTTACAACTCGACCGGCGTCTTTAATTTCAGATGTATGTTTTTATATTCTACCATCAATATTTATCTGTCTAACTCGTTATTTCAAATTCTTAAAGTACATGCATAAAACTGGTTTTTTAAACTTCTATTTTAATTAGTTATATTATTACTCAAGACTTCGGTCTGGGCACCCCGTTAGTATCATAGCCCAACTTTTTTATTCACAAGATTTTGTTGAACACTACTTAAATCGATCTTTAACATGTTTAATCGATTATACCTTGAATAGGCGGTTGTCTCTGCATTTTCAAGAATAAATATATTGAATAACTTTTTGAATTTCAACAACGTTTACTTTACAGTTTTGTGGAAAAGATGAGTTGTAGCTATTTTAGGAGTCCAAAGTGAGCGTTCCGTCCCATTCGGGACTCTTTCAGGTGTATTTACCTGCATCTGAATATTGATATTGATATTCACCTGCTTCGTTTTGGGCACCCAGGCAGTATCACAGCACACATACAAATCACGTGACTTGCGTGGCGCATATCTATTCGATTCATCTTTGTACTAATATTTATGTGTTCAAATAAATAGATAAAATATTGGGATTCGGGCTCGCTTCAAATTCCGAAACTTTGTCTACTGAGCAACGGAGTCAAGGAACGCGTTTAAAGTGGACGGTATTTTGTACGTGTACTAATATGTACATCAACACTCAAATGGAGGTACATCCGATTAACAAGTCTCATGTCGTCCGAAATGCAGGTACCAGATTCCACTGTTAAATACTTGTGATATTAGGGTTATATCGATGTAATAGATACAGGATGTACGTATGCCAAAAAACACTGATCAGAATTTGATGTCTCCATAAAACCTGTTTTGGGAGACTCAATAACCACATATGTTGAAGCCTATAATGAAACCATTCACTAATACCTGTCGCTAGCTATACCAATAGTCTAGTTGATGTTATCCTAAACGGACTTAAGCATTTTGTAAAGAGGATCTTACCGTAAACAAACAAAAGAAACTTTGTAGCCGAATTTTTATTACTGAGCTGCAATATATTACTCAACGTTCTGCTAATATGGTATCTATATTTTTGGGTGTCAAAACATTTAATCAATTTCCAGTCAAATACTTGTCTTGAGAATTTAAATATTCTGAGTTGCTATATTAAAAGTCGCCGTCAAATATTTTCATGTTTCTCACCGTAATTCAACCTTCCAGTTTGTGTCAACAAAATCTAAAAAGTATCAGTCAAGTGTTTTATTTCATCCCAAAATTCATCTTTTTTCATGACCTTACTTCATGACTTATGTTCCTTGTACTTTTTTCAGTTCTTACTTATTGTTCATTAATATATGTTTTCTGGTTTCTTTCGAATTGCTTTTTTATTCAGTCCTACTTTCCAACTGTTTATTCGACCTCCGAAGTTGTGCTCAACCTGTTGGATGGTAATCTTGATACATGCATATCCACTAGTGCTTATATGAATGCCCAACTGGCAACTTATCATTATTCCATGTGTCACTATCAGATTGCTTTTCATTTTACTTTGTTGGCTATTGAACAGTTAGAACTATGTTTCAATCACGGTACACCACCGTCTCCTCATGTTACAGTTGAAGTTCTTCGTATTATGTGCAAAGTATGTATCATCAAAAGAAAATATAGCTTAGGGTTAAGAATTATTCAACATGCATTAGTGTATACCAGGTATGTCTCGTGTTATTGATAACTTTTTAGCAACACAATTCTTTAAAAAAAAATATTGGCCTAATTGTGTATAGTATTGCGACCAGTTGTTTTATATCATCAGGTGTTATTTATTCTATTAGTTTATTATTTCTACCTTAGACTTAATCTATTCTGCCGATGGTTCCTTAAATTAACTAACCTTTATGTTGTAAGGTTCTAATTCTTGTCCTATTTCATGAATTATCTTTGGCCTTCAAGTTTTCATCGATCAGCTTAGTAGAGGGGCACCTTTATGAAATTCCTAGTTGAAACTGGTTTAAACTCATTAAATCAGTCAAGGTCATAACAGACACATGGTATCATAAGTCCATAGACGCCAAATTCAACCTTTAGTCTAACTCATAATTCTGTTCTTGGCAATTGTTTCCTTTTAATTAAATACCTTAGTTATGTACCAGCATACGATAATGCTGTTTTGGGCGGTCGTCTGATTGCAGTACTGATACACATGCTGTTTGAGTCAGAAACTCAAGACTAAGTAGGAAGACTCTATTGACTAAGTCGAGTCTAAATGTATGTACTGACTCATTCATTAATAAAGTTATTCGTCCTTCAAAGAATTAAGCCTGTTTTCTAACCAACAGCGTATATCTACCTCTAGATCATTGGACCGAATTTCGATCATTAATATGCATCCGTTAGCCTTGAACTAATACGTATGGTTGACCCAGCCTATCAAATAGTTCATATAAATAAACGAAAGCGATTATTTTATAATATTCAATTTTTCACTAGTTCGTGATTTAAAATTCTAGTATTGAAGTTAAAATTTATACATCTAATTAGTATAAACTGTATATATGTCTTGTGAACCATTATTAAATCACTAGTCAATTTGTTTTATTTGGAGAATTTGTGGAACGCATTGCTTTAAGATTATGCTAATTGATTAGTGGATCATGAAAAATTCTAAGTTTGATCGACCATTTGAAATTTTCGCGTTAATTAGCCATAGGGATCGAAAAGATCATTTATTTAACTTCTTAAGATGTCAATCGTCAGTATCACCATGCTAAGTTTATTCAGGGCAACACTGACGAATAAAGTAAAACTGTAAACTGTTGTAAAATTTTCATTATTTCCATAGATAACTCCAACATAAGTCTATGATTATGTGACAATGAAATTGTGACATTGTTGACGGATTACATCGAACTTTGGAAAACGGTATTCTCTTTCTGGGGGGGGGAACGTAAGGAATTTGTCGGGCCTCAAATTAGATCAACTGAAGTAGTCAACCGATGAATATTGGAATAATACAATGAGAAGACGAGGGTTATTTTTAAAAAATCAGCAAATGATCTGTAGAGTTCGAGGTCTGTATACATAGCTCTCTTTCCTTATCATATCTTCCTTTTCATATATTTTTATACCTAAATTTCAAAAGTAAAACAGTGGTTATAGCGTTGTTTGTAGAAGGACTGCAGTTTTCCCACGATCAAACATTCAGATATTCTTGAAGATCACTGAAACTTAGTGGTTATTTACCAACTGCTCTAATTTTCAAATATATATGCAGACTAACTGACAAGTTAATGACTCTGAGTCATTTTTAACCTGAATGATTTTTAAAATTTCACGTTACATAGTAAGTTTAAACAAATGTTGCTTTGAAGCAAACTTTTACTGGTACAATCTTTAATATGTTTTTAAAAAAATGCAATTTTGAGATAGTTTTATTATACTAAATGTTCATTGGTAGTTTATCAGACTAATTACTCTTTTTGTGACGAAAGCTTTCTCGTGGAGAATGATGTACTTGGTGCACCAGTGTATTTATTTTATCTTATTTGAACACATAAATATTGGTACAAGAGAGCGCCAATATATATGCGCCACACAAAACAATGAGAATTCGAAGAGAAATAGAAAAAACAAAAGCTAAGGAGCGCAAAAAAAGAGAACAATAACGAAGAGATTGGTGTAAGGTAGTATGGTAGAAATGAGGGAACGGAAAGGTACAATCAGAAGAAATCTTTCAGGTAAGGGAGACACAACCACTTTTTATGAAGAAAGTAAATGAAAGTTACAGCAGGATCGCCACTGGCTTCTGTTCTGAGCCATATCTGATAACGTCTCTAGCCACCGTGCAGCACCATCTCTCGGACCCCAACCAGGGAGTCGTGAAGGACCAACACAAGCCAGTCCTTTGCAGCTTTCTTTCATGCCACGACACCATGTCATGCACTGACCACCTCTCCGCTTCTTCCAACCAGTCCCAGAGTCGGCAAATAATGCCCGACGTGGAATTCTCTGGGACGACATTCGGAGAACATGTCCAAGCCACCGAAGTCGGTGTTTCAAGATGGTGACACCAATTGAATTATCATCTCTGTGCCCGAACACACGATGCCGAACCTCTGCATTACTGACATGGTGTTGCCACTGAATGTCAGCAATCCTTCGGAGACAGCGATGATCGAACACAGAGAGTCGTCTAACGTCCTCAACTCGGAGAGGCCAGGTTTCACAAGCATAGAGCAAAACTGCTCTCACCGACGCGTTGTAGATCCGACCTTTTACAGCCAGGCTAACATCACGAAGGCGCCAAAGGTGGCCCGAATTGGCATAAGTCGCTCTGGCTTTCACTATACGTGCATTGATCTCATCACTCACACCCCCACCAGCACTTATGCAGCTACCCAGATACACGAACTTCTCAACTACGTCTATTTGCTCACCATCCAGGGTGAGTACAGAATTGGAATCCTGCCAGTCTTGTAGAAGTACTTTGCACTTCGAAGGTGCAAAGCACATACCATACCTACGGACACTGATTGCCAACTGATTAAGTGTGGATTGCATGCCTTGGGCATTATCGTACAGTAAGACAATATCGTCCGCATACTCAAGGTCGAGAAGTCTTTCTCCAGGCAACGGATCCACACCGCCATTACTTACATTCATCAGAGCTGTTTCCAGAATGTCATCGATGGCAAAGTTGAAGAGGAATGGTGAGATTGGGCAACCCTGCCTAACCCCACTGCTCGAATGGAACAATGGAGAGAGGTGGTTGTATACCCTCACTCTGCCTGAGGTGTTTGTATATAGGGCCTTTAAGATTTTAATAAACTTCTCAGGCACAGCCTTCTTCAATAGACAATCCCAGAGAACAGTCTTGTCCAACGAATCGAAGGCAGCCCTGATGTCAAGAAACACTACGATTGTTGGCCTTTGAAAAGTATGGCGGTGTTCTAACATTTGGCGGAGGGTGAAGATATGATCAATACATCCTCGACCAGAACGAAACCCAGCCTGCTCCTCGCGAGTCAATCTTTCTCGGGTTTTGAACAACCTACGAAGAATGACGGAAGCCAATAGTTTGGACGCAATCGGAAGTAAACTTATCCCCCGATAGTTGTTACAAGAACGAGGTGAACCCTTTTTAAAGATAGGGACAACTATCGACTCATTCCATGACGTTGGAACACTCTCTAGCTTCCAGACCTCTGTAAACAACGTCCAATAGCTAGAAAGTCATCATCATCTGTAAAAAGAGCCGGAGGTAAGTCATCTGGGCCAGGTGATTTGTAACGCTTCAAGAGTTGGAGTTCCTTATGGTCTTCCACCTCATATGGTGAATCAGTCGTCACCGTCCATGGAGGGCATGGCGGTTCGACCGATGTTGCTGGAGCAGCAGGTCTGTTGAACTGCTCTTCGAAGAACTCTGCCCATCGTCTAAGACATCGATGGATGTTAGTGATTGGCATCCCATCATCCTCGCAGATTGTTTCGCTCACACCAGACTTCTTGCTGCCAGTGGCTCGGATGAGTTGGAAGAGCTTCCGGTAGTTACCAGATGCACCTGCTGCTTCCAGCTCATTACCACGCTCCGACCAACAGAAGTTGCAACCAACTTGCTGACATCTATCTTTTGGTGGCGATCACTTCGTTGTCAACTGAAAAGTAAGGTAAGATTGGAGCAGACCAGGGCATGATCAGAGTCCAGATAGGTACTCCAAAAGGAGCGGCAGTCTTGTACACAACCACACCAGCGGGAGCTGATCGCGATGTGATCAATCTGAATCCAGGCTTGAGATGCAGAGGGAGAACGCCAGGCGGCACATCGGCGATGACTGTGCCGAAAGTTAGTGCTATCCAGAAACACGTTGTGGTCTGTGCAGAGTTGCAATAGACGATCCCCGTTATCTGTCCTGTGACCAACAAGTCCCCATCGGCCACCTAAACGATTCTCTTCTGTGCCTAGACACCCGACCTGAGCATTCAAGTCTCCGTCTAGTACTACAATATCTGTCGAACGCACTTTCTGGAGAACAGATAACTAGTGATAGAATTCATCCTTGATTGCATCCGGGCTGCAATCTGTCGGGGCATAGGCGGAGATGACGAAAAGACATCGTTTCTCACGCCGATTTCTTCTCACTTTGATGGAACTCTCTAATCTACCAGCACATAACCAACTGTTAATGGGGTGAATCGATTAGTGCTGCCTCAGCTCTAGCGCTCAGTGCGACACCAATGCCAGCGAGACCAAACGAATATGCCACAGGGTTCCCGGATAAACGCACGTAAAACAAGCTTTTCGAAGCGACAGATGAAGAGCGAATTTGTAGCACTTCACCAGAGTCTTGAATACGGGTCTCGGATAGACAACAGATGTTGATATTAAGACTTTCCAAAGACATAACCAGCCTTATCTGTTGTCCGACCTGCATAAATGTGCGAACGTTGAAGGCAGCCAGTTTGAATGGTGCACGTGGTTTCAGAAAAACTGCTTCAGTACTCATATTCAGTGGTAACATACAATTTCTAACCGGACAGTGACTCGAGAACGTTTAGATACAATCGAATTTTCACCAAAGACGAGCCGCTGTATAAGTATAAAAGAGGGTGAATAATGTGGTAAATAATAATAATAATAATAATAATAATAATAATAATAATAATAATAATTTGATTGTTAGTTGAAGCGAGAAAAGTAATTTCCATAGACATAAACAGTTCATCATTTGTGTGTGGGCTGTGATACTGCCCGGGTGCCCAAACCGAAGCAGGTGGTTATCTTAGGGGGCCGCTCCCCGAGCCTTTGACCTAAAGGTCTAACCCACAAGGCAGTGGAGCGTCGCAAGGAGATGCAGTCCCATGGTAGCCGGTGACCAAGAAATTGGTTCATACGCCATTTGTTCCCTCAGGATACTGGAGCCCATGTGCACCATTGGTTTGTGATCCGATTAAAGCGCCGGACATTCGCTTTTCGTCCTCTCATTTTCGTAAACAACACCCTTGGTAGGAGAAGGCAGTGAGTAGGACTTCCCTGGCAGAGGCTGTATACGCGTGGCCGTGTGAGAGTATTTCGAGAGGGAGAGCGGATTCTCTTCACTGTCGGCCGTACCAGGGCATTTGGGGGCGCACCAGTGTAAGCAATAGATAAAACCAGATAAAGCTCCATGTATTTCGGTTTGATCAACCGGGTATAATATTGTAGTGAACGAAGACTTTGTGGGGATAACCAATTATTTTAGTGCAAAATTACAGAGTGCTTTCATAAGATATGAAAACCACGCATTAAATACATTATTTGCCCATCTTTCTTCAGTTGTTCTTTACGTGTTTCATGATTCCTTCTATACTGTTGTCATTACAATTGCTATCTGTTTTCTCTCCTGTTATCTTTAATCATCTCAGTCTTCTGCTGGTTAGCATTTCATTCCCGATTGGTGCTACATACTGCTTATATTTGTCAACATAGGTAGCATACACCGTAGTATTACTGGCTCTCATACTCAAAGTTTGACTGGAAATCTGGTACACGAATCTGTACATGGCAAATGAGTCAATAATAATTTTTTGTGTTCACAAACAAACCAGATTTTCTCGTTTTTATTTTTATTCCCAATGAATATACTCGTGGAACGTGCAAAGAAATTCAAATACTTTGTACTTTTGGTAAATAAAGAAGGAACGAATTGAGCGAAATTTCTTTTCAATTAGTTTTTCATCATGGCTCTACACTAATATATATACGTTTTACAATAATAATATAATACTCATCGAGTGGATACGTTACGTAATAATTACATAATGACATTTAAATTAACATTAATTAATTGGAAGAAAGAGGATTATTAATATTCAAAGTGATCAAGAAGTTGCTAAGTTGCGTAATGTAAGAAACAAAGAAGGAACAGAATTTTAACGGCTGGTCAATAGGATGGTAGTTACGTAAGAATCAAGAGATGAATGTTGATAAGTTATTAAGTTCAAAAGCAACTTAAATAAAATTACAAAAGTTTTAAAAAAATTTAAAAAAAAATGGAAGAAGTATGAAAAATAGTTCTTTTGAAGGAAATCTTAAACTGATGGCCAGGGCAGGGAAAGTGGTTGTACGAATCTCTTTTGTATGCAAAGGTCAGGTTTGTGAACATGGATTGCGATGGCTTCCGCAATGTGCAAGAGGCGCACTCGTAAACCATGTGGCAAATTAGATGGGATATTGTAGATAACCTTAAAAGCTTTATTCAATTCGACTTGATGAATGGATATGAATGGATATCCCATGAAATTCATTCCTTCTTTATTTACCAAATGGCAAAATGGGAATTTTCACTTTGTACTTTGTTTATAAGAGGCTGTTAAATGTTTTCTCATAAAAGACATATATTGATGTCTGTTTCATTTTTTCTTGGTTGAATCCTGAAGTGTTAGTTAAATATATATACATACATTCCCTATGTTTATTTTAAATTTTTGATCAACCTTACTCCATTATTACTTTAATCGATAGACTTTATTACATGTAGGTAAAAAAAGAAACTTTAATTTGTCTGTCAACATTTACGTATTTTACATCTGACTATTTTCCATAATAATCAATACCTTATGTTCTACTCACTATGA